AGATAATGATTATGAACTGTATCCTGCATGTGCGGTGACAAGAAGCCAGACCAAACAATTGGCTGACATCACGTCTGAACCACACCCGCCATCATCGTCAAGAAATTCGACTCTCAAACTGGAGTCTATGCTTCCAGAGAACACAAGCCTGGGCTTACCCCTGAGGATATCTCAGGAAGACATCATTAAAGCTCAACAAGTCGACGCGGAACTCAAAGCAACGGTCGAAAAATCGCTATCATCTGACGATGGAGAATACTTCTCCGAGAACGGCCTCTTCTTTCGTCGCGCTATACCAGTGATTGCCTCACCAGCCGAACCATGGTTGGGTAAAAACCAGCTGTGGGTCCCTCCACCTTATCGGCATGAAATACTTAAGCTGGCACATGACCATCCAATGTCAGCGCACCCAGGAGTCACTAAAACGACGGCGAAGATCAAAGAACTGTTCTTTTGGCCCAAAATGAGAAAAGATGTGTCGCGTTACTGTAGAAGTTGCACGAACTGTCAGTTGGCCGGAAAGCCAAACCAGACAATTCCTAAGGCCCCTTTGAGTCCGATTCCTGTATTAGAAGAACCTTTTTCTAAAATCGTCATGGACTGTGTAGGTCCCTTGCCTAAAACCAAGGCGGGCAACGAGTACCTACTTACCTTTATGTGTTCAAGTACCCGTTTTCCCGAGGCGATTCCCTTACGGAACATTAAGGCAAAGACTGTAGTCAGAGCCATGACCCGGTTCTTCACTACCTTTGGATTACCTAGAATCGTGCAAACAGATCAAGGCAGCAACTTCACCAGTCACCATTTTCAGGAAGCACTAGCCAAGCTAGGCGTTACCCACATCACCAGCTCAGCCTACCACCCTCAGTCTCAAGGCGTACTTGAGAGGTTCCACCAAACCCTCAAAACCATGCTAAGGACATTCGCTAATAGTAACACCCAATGGGATGAGTCTGTTCCTTGGATTATTTTCGCCGCGAGGGACTGTGTCCAGGACTCTTTAGGCTACTCGCCTTTTCAACTTGTGTTTGGACATTCTGTCCGTGGCCCCCTGAAGCTGATACACGAACGTTGGACAGGTACCAGTGATCATCCAGTGGAAAACTTCGACGATTTTCACGTTCGACTGAAAGCCGTGTGCGAAATGGCTCACAAGAACTTAAGAAAGGCCCAAGTGAGAATGAAAGGACTGTATGATAAGAGTTCTTGTAAACGAACATTCAATCCAGGCGACAAAGTTCTTGTGCTAGTGCCTAATCTGAACAATGCGTTATCCTTGAGATATTGTGGACCCTTTACTGTGCATTCAAAATTAAGTGATTTGAACTATGTTGTCAATACGCCTGACAGAAGAAGGAAACAGACAGTGTATCATGTTAACTCACTGAAAAAGTATTATGATAATTGTAACAATTTTCAATCCACAGCTAAAATTACTTTACCTGTATGTTCTAATGATTCTGATGATGTGGTACATGATAAATTGAAACCCCCAAAATTGGTAAATTCTTCCTTTTTAGATAATTTGAATGTCCACCTTATGCATTTGTCCACAGAGGAAAGCCATAGATTGTCTCAGTTATTTGAGACATTTCCCTCTATCTTTGGGGATGTCCCCAAAGAAGCGAAGGTTCCACCTCATGATGTAGACGTTGGTGACGCAAAACCCATTAAACAACACCCCTATAGAGTTAACCCGGAAAAAGCTGCTTTGATAAAAGATGAAATTGATTATATGCTCAAGAATGATATCATTGAGCCCAGTTTCAGCAGCTGGAGTTCCCCATGTCTCCTAGTACCGAAAGACGGTGGATCTTTCAGGTTTGTGACCGACTTTAGGAAGGTGAATGCGCTCACCAAAGCTGATTCCTATCCTTTACCTCGGATAGAAGACGTTATTGATAAAGTTGGTCAAGCTAAGATAATTTCCAAAATTGATTTACTTTCAGGATACTGGCAAATCCCCTTATCTGACCGTGCAAAAGAAATATCTGCTTTTGTAACCCCTAATGGTTTTTATAGATACAAACGTATGCCCTTTGGTATGCGAAATGCTGGTCAAACTTTCCAGAGGGTCATTAACTCTGTCATTGCTGACATAGACCAATGTGAGGCCTACATAGATGATATAGTTGTATTTTCTAATACTTTTGAAGAACATATTGTTCAGTTGACTAAGCTTTTTAGAAAATTGTCTGAAGTTAATTTTACTGTAAACTTACATAAAAGTGATTTCTGTAAAGCTTCAATTACCTATTTGGGTTATCAAGTGGGAACAAACCAAGTTCGGCCCATTGAAGCTAAAGTAGATGCTATTGTAAGGTTACCACCACCCAAAAATTGTAAAGAGATCAAAAAGTTCCTTGGGATGGCTGGTTACTATAGGCGGTTCTGTCAAAACTTTTCAGCTATTGCTGAACCTCTTACTGCATTATTGAAAAAGGGTGTTGAGTTTGAATGGTCAAATAAATGTCAAGAAGCCTTTTTAACCATTAAGTCATTTCTATCTAATGCTCCTGTTATGGCTGCACCAAATTTTAGCAAGCCCTTTAAACTTGCCATTGATGCTAGCAACTTAGCCATTGGCTCAGTCCTATTTCAAGAAGACAACATGGGAATTGACCATCCCATTGCCTTTTTTTCCAGGAAGTTAAATGAGAACCAAAAGAATTATTCTACTATTGAAAAAGAAGCTTTAGCTTTGGTTTTATCATTACAACATTTTGAAGTCTATGTCTCTTCTTCAACCAATCCAGTCAAAGTGTTTTCTGACCATGATCCCCTGAAATTTACCTCTAAGTTAGGACAGACAAATCAAAGAATATTGAGATGGTGTTTATATTTCCAAAATTTTAATCTGGAAATTTCATACATTAAGGGTAGTGATAATGTTGTGGCTGATTGTTTGTCAAGGATGTAAAATCTTGTTACACACATTGATCATGTGACATGCTTTGTGGTTCATTAGGACCATAAACAGGTTTTGTTTGAGTGTCACTCATATGAAAATGAGTGGTGTGAGTTTTGAATTTTTTTCAAAATTCCAATCCTGTTGAATATTTTGTTTATTTTCAGGTGAACCTTAATTAAAGGTGGTTTTTGATTATATGTAATCTTTTATAATAATATGTCTCATATGACTCAATTGATATTGTAGCTAGTCATTGAAATAAAGGTCTTACCCTGGCGGGTTTACCACTTTTAATATCCTCATGGAAATATTGTAATATCCTTTTTTGAGGGATTTTGATGTATAATTACTTTTTGAAGGGTTACTCCCCTTTCACCAATTGTAAAAGTTGGAGTTACTTCCCTTTTATGTTCAGGGATATTTTCATCTGGTATTATGATTTTGATTGCCTACATTTGTAAAACATTTTTGTTATTTCATTGCCAGATTGGTTCCTTATGTATGTTCTTGTGGAACCTATCTGTCACTTCCAAAAAGGGAGGGGATGTGACCTACTTAGGTCGAGTCATTTTTATTTTGACATTGTATAATTCCTTATATGGAATGATGGTGTAACACCTGGGGTTTTTCCACTGACTTATTAAGGTGTTTGAGACATAGAAATTTTCCATTAAAATCTGATTGAATGATTCTGATCAGATGATTATCCCAACCAATGGCGACATGAGTTGAGGATAACCTCCCCTGTCACAGAAGTCTTTAATTGCACTGCACACTCGCAACACGAGGCAGTTTTTCTTGACCTGGCAGTCTACGAGGCAGTTTTACCTTAGTCAGGCAGCCGTCCACATTGTCCGGCTATAGACTCTGACCATTTGAACGTGAGAGTACTTAAGACCTGTGTGTGCCTTGCTTTCTTAAGGTGATTTAATCTTCTATTTTAATATTACTTGTCGCTAAGTAAGTCTAGAAGCTACAGCAGTGTTGTGTGGCCTGTAGCTGTTCTTAGGACAGTGTAGAAATCTGTGATAGTGTTTTTTCCTACATTGTGTAAGTTGGGTTTTTGATATTTTATACATTAAATATTTTATCTAGTTCATCTTTGTGTTTTGCCACATCTGAGTTCGCTGATTAAATGGTCGTATGTAGATTGGATGAGTGTTAATTACAATAGTATCACTAGCTCCCCTAGACATTAATTTCGAGCCCTAGTGGTCGTTGTGTTAAGTGTTCATCCACTTAGGCCGTAAGGCATTTGCATATGACCCCGAAAAAAGAATCCGGGGACGTTCTCCTTCTATTTGGCTGATAGAAAGGTTAACGTTACAGCATGCGTCAAGTGAGAGAAGATACATATTGGTTAAATTAGCCAAATTGTAATGGCTGGTTAGTACTCGGTTATACTACTTGTATATATATATATATATATATATATATATATATATATATATATATATATATATATATATATATATATATATATATATATATATACATATATATATATGAGAATGCACGGAATTGAAATTTAATATCAGTAGAGTTCCCGGTAACAGAGCTCCGGCAAAACTTAGATTAGCTTCTACCACTAGGCTTGTAATAACTGACCACGAGTGACCTGCGGGTGGTGACACCCATACAATACTTGGTGGGGCTCTAGATGGCAGACCCCAGGAGCCCAAACATACAGTAGCCAGTCGTTAAAAAGCTTTGTGAGTCAAAGTTAACAACTACAGTAGTCCTCTGTGTAGGTTCTCTGTGTAGGCAGAGGAAAATTCCAGAAAACTTGCGGGCGGAAGATTTCAGAAAATATTGAGAGTATCGCTAAGCAGTGCTGAAAGTTATTCATGGACATCCTTCACGACCTCAGCCCACCAAGACAAACCTTAGGTGGGCGTCTCCGTTCTCGTGGAATCCTACAAACCCAAACATTAAGAGGAGAGGGGGGGGTCCTCGACAGTACACAAGTGATTATAATTTAAATGTATAGCTAGATTGATTTTGACGTGTAAAGTTCTATAGTAATGTATGATTAGATTTGTCTTAAAGGGGAACAACCAGACAAATTATCCGACATGAACCAACTCACTTGAGGTAATCAGCGTAATCCACAACAAAAGCTATCTCAACCACATGCTGAGTTACTCCCCTTCTGTGCCTTGTGTGTTGAGCTTCGTGTGGAGGGAAGACATTTCTTGATGAGTTCTTGTGGCTGGAATCTTCAGGCTGACCTGGTCAGTTTTTAGATCGTTAACATCAGTCCATGGACAGTTTCATTATGTCAGTCCATGTCAGCATTTGTTTTGTCAGTATAGTTGATTTTAGTCATATCACTTTAGCGATAGTTTTACGTCAGTGTTGACTCAAAGAGGAGTCAGTCTGTGCGGAGATAGTATAGTGTCAGTGTTGAGTCAGCGGTGCGTCATTTTTGTGGGAATGTTATGTAAGCTAAAATGGTATAATGCCCACACCTACTGTACCCTAGCTACTGTACCCTACCTACTGTCCCCTAGCTACTGTACCCTAGCTACTGTACCCTACCTACTGTCCGCCTAGCCACTGTACCCTAATTACTGTCCCCTAGCTACTGTACCCTACCTACTGTACCCTACCTACTGTCCCCTAGCCACTGTACCCTACCGACTGTACCCTACCTACTGTCCCCTAGCTTCTGTACCCTACCTACTGTCCGCCTAGCCACTGTACCCTACGTACTGTACCCTAGCTACTGTACCCTACCTACTGTCCCCTAGCTATTGTACCCTACCGACTGTACCCTACCGTCTGTACACTAGCTACTGTACCCTACCTACAGTCCCCTAGCTATTGTACCATACCGACTGTACCCTACCGACTGTACCCTACCTACTGTCCCCTAAGTACTGTACCCTACCTACTGTCCGCCTAGCCACTGCACCCTACCGACTGTACCCTACCTACTGTCCCCTAGCTACTGTACCCTACCTACTGTCCGCCTAGCCACTGTACCCTACGTACTGTACCCTAGCTACTGTACCCTACCTACTGTCCGCCTAGCCACTGTACCCTACCTACTGTCCGCCTAGCCACTGTACCCTACGTACTGTACCCTAGCTACTGTACCCTACCTTCTGTCCGCCTAGCCACTGTACCCTACCTACTGTACCCTAGCTACTGTACCCTAGCTACTGTCCGCCTAGCTACTGTACCCTACCTACTGTCCGCCTAGCCACTGTACCCTACCTACTGTACCCTACCTACTGTACCCTAGCTACTGTACCCTAGCTACTGTCCCCTAGCTACTGTACCCTAGCCACTGTATCCTACCTACTGTCCACTAGCTACTGTACCCTAGCTACTGTACCCTAGCTACTGTCCGCCTAGCCACTGTACCCTACCGACTGTACCCTTCCTACTGTCCCCTAGCTACTGTACCCTGCCGACTGTACCCTACCTACTGTCCCCTAGCTACTGTACCCTAGCTACTGTCCGCCTAGCCACTGTACCCTACCGACTGTACCCTACCTACTGTCCCCTAGCTACTGTACCCTACCGACTGTACCCTACCTACTGTCCCCTAGCTACTGTACCCTACTTACTGTCCGCTAGCCACTCTACCCTACCTACTGTACCCTACCTGCTGTCCCCTAGCTACTGTACCCTACCTACTGTCCCCTAGCTACTGTACCCTACCTACTGTCCCCTAGCTACTGTACCCTAACTACTGTCCGCCTAGCCACTGTACCCTAATTACTGTACCCTAGCTACTGTACCCTACCTACTGTCCCCTAGCTACTGTACCCTACCTACTGTCCGCCTAGCCACTGTACCCTAATTACTGTCCCCTAGCTACTGTACCCTACCTACTGTCCCTTAGCTACTGTACCCTACCTACTGTACCCTACCTACTGTCCCCTAGCCACTGTACCCTACCGACTGTACCCTACCAAATGTCCCTTAGCTACTGTACCCTACCTACTGTCCGCCTAGCCACTGTACCCTACGTACTGTACCCTAGCTACTGTACCCTACCTACTGTCCCCTAGCTATTGTACCCTACCGACTGTACCCTACCGACTGTACCCTAGCTACTGTACCCTACCTACTGTCCCCTAGCTATTGTACCCTACCGACTGTACCCTACCGACTGTACCCTACCTACTGTCCCCTATGTACTGTACCCTACCTACTGTCCGCCTAGCCACTGTACCCTACCTACTGTACCCTAGCTACTGTCCCCTAGCTACTGTACCCTACCGACTGTACCCTACCTACTGTACCATAGCTACTGTACCCTACCGACTGTACCCTACCTACTTTCCCCTAGCTACTGTACCCTTTCTACTGTCCGCCTAGCCACTGTACCCTACGTACTGTACCCTAGCTACTGTACCCTAGCTACTGTCCCCTAGCTACTGTACCCTAGCCACTGTATCCTACCTACTGTCCACTAGCTACTGTACCCTAGCTACTGTACCCTAGCTACTGTCCGCCTAGCCACTGTACCCTACCGACTGTACCCTTCCTACTGCCCCTAGCTACTGTACCCTACCGACTGTACCCTACCTACTGTCCCCTAGCTACTGTACCCTAGCTACTGTCCCCTAACTACTGTACCCTACCTACTGTCCCCTAGCTACTGTACCCTAGCTACTGTCCCCTAGCTACTGTACCCTAGCCACTGTATCCTACCTACTGTCCACTAGCTACTGTACCCTAGCTACTGTACCCTAGCTACTGTCCGCCTAGCCACTGTACCCTACCGACTGTACCCTTCCTACTGCCCCTAGCTACTGTACCCTACCGACTGTACCCTACCTACTGTCCCCTAGCTACTGTACCCTAGCTACTGTCCCCTAACTACTGTACCCTACCTACTGTCCCCTAGCTACTGTACCCTAACTACTGTCCGCCTAGCCTCTGTACCCTACGTACTGTACCCTAGCTACTGTACCCTACCTACTGTCCCCTAGCTACTGTACCCTACCTACTGTCCGCCTAGCCACTGTACCCTACGTACTGTACCCTAGCTACTGTACCCTAGCTACTGTCCCCTAGCTACTGTACCCTAACGACTGTACAATACCGACTGTCCCCTAGCCACTGTACCATACCGACTGTACCCTACCTACTGTCCCCTAGCTACTGTACCCTACTTACTGTCCGCTAGCCACTCTACCCTACCTACTCTACCCTACCTACTGTCCCCTAGCTACTGTACCCTACCTACTGTCCGCCTAGCCACTGTACCCTACGTACTGTACCCTAGCTACTGTACCCTACCTACTGTCCGCCTAGCCACTGTACCCTACCTACTGTACCCTAGCCACTTTACCCTACCTACTGTACCCTAGCTACTGTACCCTAGCTACTGTCCCCTAGCTACTGTACCCTAGCTACTGTACCCTAGCTACTGTCCCCTAGCTACTGAACCCTAGCCGCTGTATCCTACCTACTGTCCACTAGCTACTGTACCCTACCTACTGTCCCCTAAATACTGTACCCTAGCTACTGTCCGCCTAGCCACTGTACCCTACCGACTGTACCCTACCTACTGCCCCCTAGCTACTGTACCCTAGTTACTGTACCCTACCTGCTGTCCCCTAGCCACTGTACCCTACCTACTGTACCATAGCTACTGTACCCTACCTACTGTACCCTTGCTATTGTACCCTAGCTACTGTACCCTACCTACTGTCCACTAGCTACTGTACCCTAGCTACTGTACCCTACCTACTGTACCCTACCTACTGTCCCCTAGCTACTGTACCCTACCGACTGTCCCCTAGTTACTGTACCCTAGCTACTGTACCCTACCTACTGTCCCCTAGCTACTGTACCCTACCTGCTGTCCCCTACCTGCTGTCCCCTAGCTACTGTCCCCTAGCCACTGTACCCTAGCCACTGTACCCTACCGACTGTACCCTACCTACTGTCCCCTAGCTACTGTCCGCCTAGCCACTGTACCCTACCGACTGTACCCTACCTACTGTCCCCTAGCTACTGTACCCTACCGACTGTACCCTACCTACTGTCCCCTAGCTACTGTACCCTACTTACTGTCCGCTAGCCAATCTACCCTACCTACTGTACCCTACCTACTGTACCCTAGCTACTGTACCCTACTTACTGTCCCCTAGCTACTGTACCCTACCTACTGTCCGCTTAGCCACTGTACCCGAATTACTGTAACCTAGCTACTGTACCCTACCTACTGTCCCCTAACTACTGTACCCTACAAGCTGTCGCCTAGCTACTGTACCCTACCTACTGTCCCCTAGCCACTGTACCCTACCTACTGTACCCTAACTACTGTACCCTAACTAATGTCCCCTAGCTACTGTACCCTAACTACTGTCCGCCTAGCCACTGTACCCTACGTACTGTACCCTATCTACTGTACGCTACCTACTGTCCCCTAGCTATTGTACCCTACCGACTGTACCCTACCGACTGTACCCTACCTACTGTCCCCTAGCTACTGTACCCTACCTACTGTCCGCATAGCCACTGTACCCTACCTACTGTACCCTACCTACTGTACCCTAACTACTGTACCCTAGCTACTGTCCCCTAGCTACTGTACCCTAACGACTGTACCCTACCTACTGTCCCCTAGCTACTGTACCCTACCGACTGTACCCTACCTACTGTCCCCTAGCTACTGTACCCTACTTACTGACCGCTAGCCACTCTACCCTACCTACTGTACCCTACCTACTGTCCCCTAGCTACTGTACCCTACCGACTTTACCCTACCTACTGTCCCCTAGCTACTGTACCCTTTCTACTGTCCGCCTAGCCACTGTACCCTACGTACTGTACCCTAGCTACTGTACCCTACCTACTGTCCGCCTAGCCACTGTACCCTACCTACTGTCCACTAGCTACTGTACCCTAGCTACTGTCCCCTAGCTACTGTACCCTAGCTACTGTACCCTACCTACTGTCCCCTAGCTACTGTACCCTAGCCACTGTATCCTACCTACTGTCCACTAATTACTGTCCCCTAGCTACTGTACCCTAGCTACTGTCCGCCTAGCAACTGTACCCTACCGACTGTACCCTACCTACTGCCCCATAGCTACTGTACCCTAGCTACTGTACCCTTCCTACTGTCCCCTAGCTACTGTACCCTACCGACTGTACCCTACGTACTGTACCCTACCTGCTGTCCCCTAGCTACTGTACCCTACCGACTGTCCCCTAGCCACTGTACCCTACCTACTGTACCATAGCTACTGTACCCTACCTACTGTACCCTTGCTACTGTACCCTAGCCACTGTACCCTACCTACTGTCCACTAGCTACTGTACCCTAGCTACTGTACCCTACCGACTGTCCCCTAGCTACTGTACCCTAGCTTCTGTACCCTAGCTACTGTACCCTACCTGCTGTCCCCTAGCTACTGTACCCTACCTACTGTCCCCTAGCTATTGTACCCTAGCTACTGTCCCCTAGCTACTGTACCCTACCTACTGTCCCCTAGCTACTGTACCCTACCTACTGTACCCTAGCTAATGTACCCTAGCTACTGTACCCTACCTGCTGTCCCCTAGCTACTGTACCCTACCTACTGTCCGCCTAGCCACTGTACCCTACGTACTACCCTAGCTACTGTACCCTACCTACTGTCCCCTAGCTACTGTACCCTACCTACTGTCCCCTAGCCACTGTACCCTACCTACTGTACCCTAACTACTGTACCCTACCTACTGTCCCCTAGCTACTGTACCCTGCCTACTGTCCGCCTAGCCACTGTACCCTACGTACTGTACCCTAGCTACTGTACCCTACCTACTGTCCCCTAGCTATTGTACCCTACCGAATGTACCCTACCGACTGTACCCTACCTACTGTCTCCTAGCTACAGTACCCTACCTACTGTCCGCCTAGCCACTGTACCCTACCTACTGTACCCTAGCTACTGTACCCTAGCTACTGTCCCCTAGCTACTGTACCCTACCGACTGTACCCTACCTACTGTCCCCTAGCTACTGTACCCTACCGACTGTACCCTACCTACTGTCCCCTTGCTACTGTACCCTAGCCACTGTACCCTACCTACTGTCCAATAGCTACTGTACCCTACCGACTGTACCCTACCTACTGTCCCCTAGCTACTGTACCATAGCTACTGTACCCTACCTACTGTCCACTAGCTACTGTACCCTACCGACTGTACCCTAGCTACTGTCCGCCTAGCCACTGTACCCTACCTACTGTACCCTACCGACTGTACCCTAGCTACTGTCCCCTAGCTACTGTACCCTACCGACTGTACCCTAGCCACTGTATCCTACCTACTGTCCACTAGCTACAGTACCCTACCGACTGTACCCTACCTACTGTCCCCTAGCTACTGTACCCTACCGACTGTACCCTAGCCACTGTACCGTGGGTACTCACCGGTTGACAGGTTTAGTTTGTCTCCCCTGAAGTTTAGTGGACTTTTCATCCAAGATGGAACGAAAATTCTGTGCTTGACGGAGTTATCGTCCCTGTCAGTCTGGTTGACGGAGTTGTCTACCATGGCTTGATGCCTGTTTTCTTGAAGTGATTTGACCTCCCAGACCAGACCGCCATACGTGAAAGTTCCATCCTAGGGATAGATTTTAGGGAGTGGGGGGTGTAAGTGACAAAGGGTAATATTCCATTTTTTAAATAATCCATCAGTTTTTAAATATTACAAAAATAAATTGAGGATCTTTCACAAGTTACACAATGCATGGAATAGAGGGGGGGGGGGGGCATTAATGCCTTTATTGGAAGTTTGGATTCTAGAAATAGGAGTTTGGAAAAGTGACGTAGTATTTGCTTTTTATCAGTGAAAATATTATGTCCAACCTGCCAACCAACGTTAGAGTTGTTTTCGGCAAAGTTTGAGAACAATCATCACAGTGTAACTCCATGAGATGTCTTAAGCTACTGTCTTTCTTGGCACAGAATAGAGTTGTTGACGTACAAGATATACAGTTAAATAACAAGAGAGGACGAAACTGGGACTAGACAAGTAAAAAGATGTTCGACATTTTTGTGGTAATATTTAAACACAAAAAGGGATCACTAAATCTTACGAGATAAAACCGGCCGGCGAATCTTTTAACACGCATGACAGCTGATAGGGAGGCATCATTGTACACTGCCGCGTTCTGAAATAAGTGTTAGAACACATGAAATTCTATAACATACATAGTACAGGGGTCTGTGTGGATTATATAATACACAGGGCACTGTGTGGAATACATAATACACACACTACTCAGTTTCTGATAGTGTTTAGTATAACATAGTGTACACAAGTTATTACTTAAGCAGCAGAGAAAGAAAGGAAACTACTAGAATGTCCTGAGCTGTCCTGTCGTCCTGTGGTGACTGACTTGTCAGCGCCTGTAAGGTTTCCAGACGATGGAGCCTCAACACTAGCCGCTCACCCTTCAGGTGCAAGCCAAAGGGAAGTAAGTCTGGCATGCTAGCCCCACCGATAGCTCCATCCTCCATTAAAACTATAGACGTTGCATAATCTTTAAGGAAAAAAACATTACTAATTAGCTAACAAGGTTTTTAATACATCCATCTAATATGAAGATTATTTTTTAAATTACTTTAAGTTTGCTGAAGATCGTTCCTTAAGGCTTAAGTTAGGGGACGTAGACTTGTATCGGTTAGAACATTTTTCTTTCGCCTCTAGTGAATAACTAGTTTCTATCAGTTATACCTAGACCTCATGTCCTAACGCAGGAGGTGACAATAAGAAATGGTCGTACAAATCTTGCACAACACGACAACAGCTGTTGATGTTGCTTCATTTAGTGACAGTAAGAAATGGTCGTACAAATCTTGCACAACACGACAACAGATGCTGATGTTGCTTCATTTAGTGACAGTAAGAAATGGTCGTACAAATCTTGCACGACACGACAACAGCTGTTGATGGTGCTTCATTTAGTGACAGTAAGAAATGGTCGTACAAATCTTGCACGACACGACAACAGCTGTTGATGGTGCTTCATTTAGTGACAGTAAGAAATGGTCGTACAAATCTTGCACAACACGACAACAGATGCTGATGTTGCTTCATTTAGTGACAGTAAGAAATGGTCGTACCAATCTTGCACAACACGACAACAGCTGTTGATGTTGCTTGCTTCATTTAGTGACAGTAATAAATGCTCGTACAAATCTTGCACAACACGACAACAGCTGTAGAAGTTGCTTCATTTAGTGACAGTAATAAATGCTCGTACCAATCTTGCACAACACGACAACAGCTGTTGATGGTGCTTCATTTAGTCACAGAATTATAACATCGAGATTTTCATACAATTTGTTATTTTATTGTTTAACTGTATTGTAGTTTAATTAAATGAGCTTAATTAAGTCATCACAGTTGTACACTAAAACCTAAAGATGCACCAGTCCCACAATATCAACAAACACCAACCAACAAATCACCTACCATTTCTATCCTCAACTGGACTGGCCATACTAACATGAAGGCCACACACACATACGGCTATAAAAAATCCAAACATTTTCAGCAGTTGTTACAGAAATATTTGCATTTAAACTTTTCAATCATCTAAATTGTGTATAGTCTACATAACTATTTCACGATAGCAACAGTAGCACCCGAGACCTCTTGTATATCTAAGATGTCTTTTTGTTGCACACACTTTAAACTTCTTTAATGGGTTAAGTGACTCTTGTTAGACAAATACCATCTTAAAAACATCTATAGCAATTAAAAATGTTTGGCCAAGTAGGCCTACTTGCTTGTTTTTTGGGGGTTTTTTTGTGCTAAGTCATTGACCTCTGCTAAAGTGGCCTGAGCGAAACGTGTGAAGTGACCACTAGATCTATGAGAATTTAGGTCATTCAGCAGAAACTACATAAATATTTAGATATTTTTCTTCTCACTCTAAAGTGTGAGGTCATATTTGGTATATGACAAGCTAGGCATTGTTGCGGTGTGGTTTTTAAATTGTATTATACCTAAACTAAACTCTCCTCTAAGAAATAAGAAAGTCATATCAAAACGTAAGTCACGAGAAAAAAACTTTCACCAGTGTAAATAGCGTGAGTCATAGGAAGATTTTATCATCAGTAAAATATTGAAGTTGTAAGAAGTTGTAAGAAGTACAAATGGCGGTAACAATGTCAACAATGTGAGTCTTTTCGTGTTACAATGAATCATATAATCATAATAATAGCACTGTGCAATCAGACACAAGAAAGGAAAAAATATAACTCGAATAAATGAATACAGAAACTATTTCATGATAATAAACTCAAGAACAATATGTTTGATATCAATTTTTTTATTAATATAAGATTACATATGAAGTTTGGTTTGCCTTTTCACAAAAATCTGGCACTTTTATCTTTAATGAGCTTATTAAAATAAACCGGACTACGTGATGAATTGTAATATTTAATCAAGCAACTCTAACAATTAAAATAATTATATGTATGAGCATGAATTTGCAATTATATTCTACAGCTTAGATAGAATTTATGTAAACTTTTAAAAAGTGCATACTTAGGCCTATAAATTAGGCTATTTAAAGTAAGTTAAGTAATAAGTTGATCTAGTATGAGAGAAATGGTTTAATAAAGTGGAGTTTATTATTGTTTCTATCTCTTGTATAAATGCTGCCATGTAAAAGTAAACCAAAAATTTGTCTCTGTGTGAGAGTCATGAATAGAATGTTGCAACAAAAGTTCTACACTGTCATCAAACTTTATACAAGGCCTACACTTAAATTCTCTCTTCAAATACAGCACAGCAATCATAAAACAATTCACTTGACTCATGTCCCTGCTAAATATGGGCACAGCAGTCTAAAAGTCAGGCTCGTCTAGTCAACATAAGCCATAGTATAAAGAGTGGACACATTCAGCTGATGTAACTAATGAAAAATAATGGCTAACTACTAGATCTACATTCAAGCAAATGTGTTTAAACAAATGTATTCACTAAAAAAGATATAAGTATATCTAAACTAAAATAATTCTAAAATGTACATAAATAGTCATCTTTTTTGTATAATAAGTTTAATAATGTATTTCCATTCATTATTCTTATTACATGTTTTTGTTTTGAATTTTAACTTTACATTTTTCAATGCCTTCAATAATTGTTTTAAAAACAATATTCTCTAGAAGGGGTCATCCATAATTGATGTCATGTTTTTTAATGATTTTTTTACAACACACACTCCTACCATCACACATCCCCACAAAAATCCAAACCCATACACTCCCGAAAACAATACAATTCATTTTATATTAAAAGTCAAATTCTCATGTTAATTAAAAGTCACATTCAGAATAAAAGTTACACTTTTTACGCAAATTGTTGTAAGGTATACATGACTGGTGTGTAGATTGTTTACAGTAATTCATCAGCTGATTCAAACAATTTTAATTAAAGATTTTTTTATTAATTTATGAAGAATTTTTCATGTTCATACTAACAGACATTGGCTAGTTTTTAGCGCAATTCCCATACTGACAATTGCGATTATTAATTCGTTATTTCTGGATGGATGGATGGATGGATGTGTGTCCGCAGCTTTAAGTCGTATCTCCTCCTCAACGAAGCAATATCGAGGACTAGTTCCAAAAGCAAATATGTTAAGCAAGTTCCGCGAATGATTGTGGGCCAAAAAAATTCCCGGAATTCCTTCCTGGATTTCCCGGAAAAGCCAAAAAACCTCTTAAAAAATGCAGTTTTTGGCCCATATCTCGGCAACCAGACCACTAAGCGACTTGAAACATTTACCAATCGATTCCTGCCATAATTTGGAACAATATTGCCGAAGAAAGTTTTCAAAAATATCCTTTCGTTCGGTCACAAAAAATTAATTAAGGAAATTGCGCTTAAATTGTCACTAGACTTTTTATTAACTTGTTTTTTAGAAAAGATAAAATGTGAGTCACATTTTGAAATTTAAATTGTTAAATCATGACAAAGTTTTTCATTGATCTGCTATAGCCCTTAACACTGCTTAAAAATTAGTTGAAATAAAGCACAGCATGACATCTATAAACAATATGATGCAGTTTTGAAGAGATGGGACAGTAATTGAATGAGGGTGTGGGTAAAATCTTTTAAAAAATTAAACAAAACATGGTTTAGTATGTGAATTGTTAAAAACTAAGTTAAGAAAAAAACAACTTTTTTGTAAGACTGATTTTTTTTTTTCATTTTTAAAATAGTTGATTCAGTTAAATCTTTTTTAAAAAATTAATTATTTTATGAAATTATGTTTTTTTTAAATTTTCAAGCAACATATAATTATTATTTTACACATACAACAGATATAACATAATATTTCTTGCGCTATTTTACATCCATAAGCTGCTGATAGACTGCCTGCACAAAAAAGGAAAACATCTAATTTATCATGTCCTAATCCTTGTGTTTATTGGGTGTTTTCTTTGTTCTATGGCTGTGGCTAGTGTTTTCTGTGGTGGTTTATGGCTGTGACTAGTGTTTACTGTGTGTTGGTCTATGGCTGTGGTTAAGTGTTTGCTTATTGATCTATGGGTGTGGCTAGTGTTTACTGTTCATGTTTATAAGTACACCAGGATAAGAGCAATAAACAAAAGTGTAAGATTAAGACAGGAGATGGTGGAGGAGTTGCCTCCCTTCCTTGTGTAGACCTGCAGCATCCAGCCCCCCTCTGATGACATCTCGTCTGTCAGAAATTGAATGGTGGCCGAACTCAGTTTACTGACAAAAGTGGTCTCTCTGTCGTAACCACAAACTCGGCCAAATGGTTCGCTTGTCATGTGATTGTCCATACCTAGAAATGTAAGAAGTTTACATGAACCAGAATTTTTTTTCAAATTATTATATCATAATATGTAAGAAATATGTATGCACTTACACAGACTGTATATTTTACTTTCAAGCAATGAGTAAGATTTTTAAAAAATAATGTGACATTTATAAAACAACAAAATGTTATACATAAGGAACAACTAGTGCTCACAACCATTAGGTATAACATGGACTAGCGGTAGAGAACTACACTGCTAATCTAAACATCTCGAGTTTAAATATGGGTTCAAGTCAGTAGAAAGTCGCTGAGTCCCTAAATCATTGATGGGTGCTAATGTTAGGGAAAGTATAAGGCGCTGAGCATAGTGCTGACCACACAATCCCCTTATATACCGAGGTCACAGAAAAAGGTGAACTCAAAAAGGGAATTTTACTTTCACAGCCATTCTGGCACTGAGAACTAAACTTGAGGGCCTTAAGGTAAATGGCATCTGAGCTAGGGCTGAGCTAGGGGTGAGCCAGGGCTGAGCCAGGGCTGAGCCAGGGATACCATACAGTGCTGTGTCAGGGACTAACTCAGATGTCCAGACCAGACACTTTTACAGCCTACATTACATTTGACTCAAACAAAAAAATCTTACAGCCTACATTACATTTGACTCAAAAAAAAAAAAATGTACCATTATAAAAACTCAGGATGTCCCTGCAGCCTCTAGAAAAGTTGGCGTCCATTACATCAATAACAACAACATCATTGACACTTTCAGCAACCACTTGATAGCTGCAGTTGTAGTCCCTGGGGGAAGGGGGGGGGGGGGGTGTTGAGAGATACATGATAAGTACAGTTGTGGAGGGTGAGGGGAGGGGGTTATTGAAAGATACATGATAAGTACAGTTGTGGAGGGTGGGGGGAGGGGTGTTGAGAGGTACATGATAAGTACAGTTGTGGGGGGTGAGGGGAGGGGGTTATTGAAAGATACATGATAAGTACAGTTGTGGGGGGTGAGGGGAGGGGGTTATTGAAAGATACATGATAAGTACAGTTGTGGAGGGTGAGGGGAGGGGTGTTGAGAGGTACATGATAAGTACAGTTGTGGGGGGTGAGGGGAGGGGGTTATTGAAAGATACATGATAAGTACAGTTGTGGGGGGTGAGGGGAGGGGGTTATTGAAAGATACATGATAAGTACAGTTGTGGAGGGTGAGGGGAGGGGGTTATTGAAAGATACATGATAAGTACAGTTGTGGGGGGTGAGGGGAGGGGGTTATTGAAAGATACATGATAAGTACAGTTGTGGAGGGTGAGGGGAGGGGGTTATTGAAAGATACATGATAAGTACAGTTGTGGAGGGTGGGGGGAGGGGTGTTGAGAGGTACATGATAAGTACAGTTGTGGGGGGTGAGGGGAGGGGGTTATTGAAAGATACATGATAAGTACAGTTGTGGGGGGTGAGGGGAGGGGGTTATTGAAAGATACATGATAAGTACAGTTGTGGGGGGTGAGGGGAGGGGGTTATTGAAAGATACATGATAAGTACAGTTGTGGAGGGTGGGGGCGGGGGTTATTGAAAGATACATGATAAGTACAGTTGTGGGGGGTGAGGGGAGGGGGTTATTGAAAGATACATGATAAGTACAGTTGTGGGGGGTGAGGGGAGGGGGTTATTGAAAGATACATGATAAGTACAGTTGTGGAGGGTGGGGGCGGGGGTTATTGAAAGATACATGATAAGTACAGTTGTGGAGGGTGGGGGGAGGGGTGTTGAGAGGTACATGATAAGTACAGTTGTGGGGGGTGGGGGGAGGGGTGTTGAGAGGTACATGATAAGTACAGTTGTGGGGGGTGAGGGGAGGGGGTTATTGAAAGATACATGATAAGTACAGTTATGGAGGGTGGGGGGTTGGGGAGGGGGGTTATTGAGAGATAAAAGTACAGTTGTGGGGGGTGGCAATGGGGGGGGGGGGGAGTTATTGAGAGATACATAATGATTGCAATTGTAGTCCCTAGTGGAAGGTGGTAATTTTTTAACACAAACTAGAAAAGGATTTTTATGGAGATGCATCTTCAAAGAAAATTTAATTTATCAATTAAATGTTTGAAAAAAAGAAATTAAATTATTAAATTAATTAACAAACATGTTATACTCACAATGGGTAGTAGTTTGGATAATTAGGTGATTTTAAAACAGTGCCAGAACTGTTGACTGTTAGAACCTTGTTGAGGCATTCTGTCTTAACTGGGTACAATCAATAGAGCTAAATCAGCTTGGTACAATAGTTAAGCTCTGTCTTAACTGGGTACAATCAATAGAGCTAAATTAACTCAGTACAATAGTTAAGCTATGTCTTAAATGGGTACAATCAATAGAGCTAAATTAACTCAGTACAATAGTTAAGCTCTGTCTTAACTGGGTACAATCAATAGAGCTAAATTAACTCAGTACAATAGTTAAGCTCTGTCTTAACTGGGTACAATCAATAGAGCTAAATCAGCTCAGTACAATAGTTAAGCTCAAAGAATTTCTGTTAAACATTTTAGCTCTAACTATCTGGCTAGAAAATTATTCAAGATTTTTAAAATTATTATTTTTATATTTCTGAAGAAACTCGAGAAACTTTACTAAAAGATTGAATTTATATAAATTATTTGTAAGCTTGTTGCTCTCTCTAATGTTTGGCCTGCTGTATTGACTTATAGACCATCTTATACGCTGCAAGATACATCTGTCTATACCTAGACACTAACCTGGGACAGCATAAAATTCTACATTGATCTGTGAAGACAGGTGGTAGTCATTTGTGTTGAACTGAATCAACATCCACGGCTCTACAAGTCACAAACATTAAAATTTTGTATATATGACATATGGCATCAACATGGCTCTACAAATCACAAACATTAACATTTTGAATATATGACATATGGCATCAACATTAATGGCTTTACAAATCAAAAACATTTCATATGATGACATATATCAACATCCATGGCTCTATACAGTACAAATATGTCATATAATCCAGAGGCGTAGCGACCCCTCCCGGCGCCCGGGGACAAACTTTCAATTTGCGCCCCCCCCCCCCCCCCCATATATTTTTTATATTTATAATTCAAAATAGCAGCTAAATAAGCTTATTTTGGCGCCCTTAGGGTTGGGCCTCGGGGACATATGTACCCTCCCCTGTCGCTTAGCCTCTGATATAATCATAATTATGACATATAGCATCAACAGCCTAAGGTTTAGATATAAAGGTTCAGTTAACAAATAGGTTCCTAAATAGACCTAGTTAGTTCTAGACTGCAACATCAGATGATATTTACTTCAAGCTGTGAGGTCTGATCTAGAGTCTGGACTTGTTTTTACTTTTTGACAAACTTCTTTTTAACAAAATCAAGTTTTGATTTTTTTAAATTATTACTTACAATTTCATCTTTAAAATAAAATTACTAGAAAAAAAACAGATCTATCTTAATTTAATAAATTCAAACTGGTGTTATGCAAGATCATTATTTAATATATTGAATTTTCTTTCAGTTAATTTCTTGCAATACTCACTTGTGCCATAGACTTTAATTTCAGAATAAATCCTTGACTTATGTGTTTGGTTACAGGAAGAAAAAAGTAGGCGGTCTGTTGAGGAATTTCCTGGGGATAAAAAAAAAATATTTCTTTTTAAGGAAAGTTATCTGGAAACTTTTGATGTACATAATAAATTATTTAAGTCACACAGTCTAAGATAGGCTAATAAATACAATCACAGTTTGAATTAAATGTCATTTAAATTATTTAAAATTAGAAGTTGTTTAAAAATATTGATAGAATGCTGTCACAAAAATTGTTGATGGAATCCCAAAACTCTTCATCAAAAATATTGATAGAATAAAAGAGAATCTTACCATCAAAAATATTGATAGAATAAAAGAGAATCTTACCATCAAAAATATTGATAGAATAAAAGAGAATCTTACCATCAAAAACATTGATAAAATAAAAGAGAATCTTACCATCAAAAACATTGATAGAATAAAAGAGAATCTTACCATCAAAAACATTGATAGAATAAAAGAGAATCTTACCATCAAAAACATTGATATAATTTAAGAGAATCTTACCATCAAAAACATTGATAGAATAAAAGAGAATCTTACCATCAAAGATATTGATAGAATAAAAGAGAATCTTACCATCAAAGATATTGATAGAATAAAAGAGAATCTTACCATCAAAAACATTGATAATGTCTCCCATGCATGGGTCTCTGGCCATAGGATCCTCTGCCTGAAAGACTGACGGTGGGACATTGATTTTAGCAACAACTGATTCATCAGCCATCTTGGTGCTGATTACTAGGTTGGCTACACAGTTGCTGGAAATAGAATTAGATTTTATTTTGTCAACTCTCATACACTTGACATTGTTTTAACTACACAGTTGCTGGAAATAGAATTAGAAATATTTTGTTAACTCTCATACACTTGACATAGTTTAAACTTTCAACTGGTTATTTATCACAATTAAGTTTAATTTGCATTTCAGTCCTTCATTTAATTTTCAACATTAATTTTGTCAAGGTCTGATACTATTTTATATTAGGATATATCATAGCTGTACTCTGATAAATAACACCATAATTATCCCAATGTTTTTGACTTATACAATAAAGCCACCACTTACAGTGGGACTTCAGATTTCCCATCCATCAATACTGGAACTTTTTCTTTTTTTATCATGTCAGAGGTTGCCAGAACAATTTGCTTTGCCCCTCCACAAAACCTGCCTGATAAAGTCATTTAACAATTAGCACATTGCTGCAGTTAAGTGTGAATGACAAGGCAGTGCTTTCAATGACAACAGAGAATAATTGTAACAGTGAAGGTTTATATAGAATTGGAAGCAAAAAAAAAAAATAACTAAAATGCTTAAACAAGAATTACCAACAGAAGTTGCCTTTAAATAAACTCTTTGATCTGAGAATTTTGATGTGACAATGACATCACTGTGTTGGGTTAAATACATGGGTTGCTTGTGCAGGTTGCATTGTTTATTCACGTGAGTTAAGATGGATGCTGGGGACCAAACAAAATAACTGAATTTCACTGTCTTAAGTTTGAGAAATTGATCGAATTTAGTAGTCATTTGAGTCATTTCTATTAATGAAATCAATTACGGGAACCATAAATGGTACTTCACATTACACTCAATGTTTACCTCACCTTATGCTAAATGTTTATCTCACCTTATGTTAAATTTTTACCTCACCTTATGCTAAATGTTTACCTCACCTCACACTAAATGTTTACCTCACCTCACACTAAATGTTTACCTCACCTCAGGCTAAATGTTTACCTCACCTCAGGCTAAATGTTTACCTCACCTCACAGTAAATATTTACCTCACCTCACAGTAAATGTTTACCTCACCTTATGTTAAATGTTTACCTCACCTCAGGCTAAATGTTTACCTCACCTCAGGCTAAATGTTTACCTCACCTCAGGCTAAATGTTTACCTCACCTCACAGTAAATATTTACCTCACCTCACAGTAAATGTTTACCTCACCTTATGTTAAATGTTTACCTCACCTCAGGCTAAATGTTTAACTCACCTCAGGCTAAATGTTTACCTCACCTCACAGTAAATATTTACCTCACCTCACAGTAAATGTTTACCTCACCTTATGTTAAATGTTTACCTCACCTCAGGCTAAATATTTACCTCACCTCACAGTAAATGTTTACCTCACCTCACAGTAAATGTTTACCTCACCTCAGGCTAAATATTTACCTCACCTCACAGTAAATGTTTACCTCACCTCACAGTAAATATTTACCTCACCTCACAGTAAATGTTTACCTCACCTTATGTTAAATGTTTACCTCATCTCACAGTAAATGTTTACCTCACCTTATGTTAAATGTTTACCTCATCTCACAGTAAATGTTTACCTCACCTTATGTTAAATGTTTACCTCACCTCACAGTAAATATTTACCTCACCTCACAGTAAATGTTTACCTCACCTTATGTTAAATGTTTACCTCATCTCACAGTAAATATTTACCTTACCTCACAGTAAATATTTACCTCGACTCACAGTAAATGTTTACCTCACCTTACATTAAATGTTTACCTCACCTTATGTTAAATGTTTACCTCACACTAAATGTTTACCTCACCTCACACTAAATGTTTACCTCACCTCACACTAAATGTTTACCTCACCTCAGGCTAAATGTTTACCTCACCTCACACTAAATGTTTACCTCACCTCACACTAAATGTTTACCTCACCTCACACTAAATGTTTACCTCACCTCAGGCTAAATGTTTACCTCACCTCAGGCTAAATGTTCACCTCAAGCTAAATGTTTACCTCACCTCAGGCTAAATGTTTACCTCAGGCTAAATGTTTACCTCACCTCAGGCTAAATGTTCACCTCAGGCTAAATGTTTACCTCACCTTATGTTAAATGTTTACCTCACCTCAGGCTAAATGTTTATTTCACACTAAATGTTCACTTCATACTAAACGTGTACCTCACCTCACACTAAATGTTTACCTCTTTCCACCACAACAGCATCAGTGTCACAGGTTACACTTTGACCTTTGACCCTAAGAACGTCCAGCCTAACAAAATCCTTGCCCTGCTGTGAGACCAGTACACCACACGCGGCGTCTCTGGAACACAAAATTTGTTTCATGGATTAAATCCTTGTTTTTGTGTTGATTCAGCTAAAGTAAGTTAGCAACAGTAAACTAGTTTAGACAGACCTCTTGTGTATACAAATGGGCAAGCTGAAGTAAGTTAGCAACAGTAAACTAGTTTAGACAGACCTCTCGTGTATAGACGTGGGTAAGCTGAAGTAAGTTAGCAACAGTAAACTAGTTTAGACAGACCTTTCGTGTATAGACGTGGGCAAGCTGTAGTAAGTTAGCAACAGTAAACTAGTTTAGAAAGACCTTGCTGAAGTAAGTTAGCAACAGTAAACTAGTTTAGACAGACCTCTCGTGTATAGACGTGGGTAAGCTGAAGTAAGTTAGCAACAGTAAACTAGTTTAGACAGACCTTGCTGAAGTAAGTTAGCAACAGTAAACAAGTTTAGACAGACCTCTCGTGTATAGACGTGGGCAAGCTAAAGTAAGTTAGCAACAGTAAACTAGTTTAGACAGACCTTTCGTGTATAGACTATAGACGTGGGCAAGCTGAAGTAAGTTAGCAACAGTAAACTAGTTTAGACAGACCTCTCGTGTATAGACGTGGGTAAGCTGAAGTAAGTTAGCAACAGTAAACAAGTTTAGACAGACCTCTCGTGTATAGACGTGGGCAAACTGAAGTAAGTTAGCAACAGTAAACTAGTTTAGACAGACCTTGCTGAAGTAAGTTAGCAACAGTAAACTAGTTTAGACAGACCTCTCGTGTATAGACGTGGACAAGCTGAAGTAAGTTAGCAACAGTAAACTAGTTTAGACAGACCTCTATAGACGTGGGCAAGCTGAAGTAAGTTAGCAACAGTAAACTAGTTTAGACAGACCTCTCGTGTATAGACGTGGGCAAGCTGAAGTAAGTTAGCAACAGTAAACTAGTTTAGACAGACCTCTTGTGTATACAAATGGGCAAGCTGAAGTAAGTTAGCAACAGTAAACTAGTTTAGACAGACCTCTATAGACGTGGGCAAGCTGAAGTAAGTTAGCAACAGTAAACTAGTTTAGACAGACCTCTTGTGTATACAAATGGGCAAGCTGAAGTAAGTTAGCAACAGTAAACTAGTTTAGACAGACCTCTATAGACGTGGGCAAACTGAAGTAAGTTAGCAACAGTAAACTAGTTTAGACAGACCTCTATAGACGTGGGCAAGCTGAAGTAAGTTAGCAACAGTAAACTAGTTTAGACAGACCTCTCGTGTATACAAATGGGCAAGCTGAAGTAAGTTAGCAACAGTAAACTAGTTTAGACAGACCTCTTGTGTATACAAATGGGCAAGCTGAAGTAAGTTAGCAACAGTAAACAAGTTTAGACAGACCTCTCGTGTATAGACGTGGGCAAGCTGAAGTAAGTTAGCAACAGTAAACAAGTTTAGACAGACCTCTCGTGTATAGACGTGGGCAAGCTAAAGTAAGTTAGCAACAGTAAACTAGTTTAGACAGACCTCTATAGACGTGGGCAAGCTGAAGTAAGTTAGCAACAGTAAACTAGTTTAGACAGACCTCTCGTGTATAGACGTGGGCAAGCTGAAGTAAGTTAGCAACAGTAAACTAGTTTAGACAGACCTCTATAGACGTGGGCAAGCTAAAGTAAGTTAGCAACAGTAAACTAGTTTAGACAGACCTCTCGTGTATACAAATGGGCAAGCTGAAGTAAGTTAGCAACAGTAAACTAGTTTAGACAGACCTTGCTGAAGTAAGTTAGCAACAGTAAACAAGTTTAGACAGACCTCTCGTGTATAGACGTGGGCAAGCTGAAGTAAGTTAGCAACAGTAAACTAGTTTAGACAGACCTCTCGTGTATAGACGTGGGCAAGCTGAAGTAAGTTAGCAACAGTAAACTAGTTTAGACAGACCTTTCGTGTATAGACTATAGACGTGGGCAAGCTAAAGTAAGTTAGCAACAGTAAACTAGTTTAGACAGACCTCTCGTGTATACAAATGGGCAAGCTGAAGTAAGTTAGCAACAGTAAACAAGTTTAGACAGACCTGTCGTGTATAGACGTGGGCAAGCTAAAGTAAGTTAGCAACAGTAAACTAGTTTAGACAGACCTCTCGTGTATAGACGTGGGCAAGCTGAAGTAGACAGGGTTCTGACCAACGTTGATGTTGGGGAATGTTTTGGTTGACGAGCAGGAATCTGGGAGAAATAATTATATTTTACATTTGCAAACATCATTAAAAAAATACATCACTGTAAATTAGACGGCCTTATCTGCAATGGGACTTACATTCTGAAATATATTTATATGTCTTGATACTTAACAACAAAATTTCAGGTCAATATTAAGTAGCTTCTCATAAACGTGTGTTAAACTAAGTGTCAATTTTTGTTGATTTGTTTTAAATGTTATTATATTATGAAATAATAACACTCTCAATAACTGTTTTAAAATTAAGGTTAAACTCAACATTAGAATAGTAAATTGCAAAATTGTAAATGTTTAAAAGCTGAATGCTAAAAACAGTAGATGAAGTCACATTTGATATTCCTGGAGTAGATCTTCAGCTGCAGGTTGTTTTTCTCTTCCTCTACCTCTTGTCCTGGTTCAAAGACAAAGGTCAAGGTAGCGTAGCTGGAAGACAGGTATATCTGGGAGAAGGATCCAAGTTCATTGCACCACTCCAGGATCTTAGGGCTGTCTTTGGTGGAACCTGTGGGGGGGTTGTTCATGTTATTCATGGTGTATAGCATAAATTATTGTTACGTCCCCTTGTGTTATGTTGATAATGGTTACGTCCCTTGGGTGTTCAATGTGTTTAGGGTGCGGTAGTTAACTAGAAATAGAGCTAGAGACAAGACGTGTCGTCTAAACTGTATGTGTGTAAGAATAAAGTCCCAATGTTAACTCGGACAAATATGTTTAACTGTACACGGCATGTAGCATAATCCATGCCATATAACATAGCCTGTCATCAAATATAATCAAACCTACAATATAAAACAACCTAATTACAATCAAACATAACTAAACCTACCATCAAATAAAACCAAACCTACCGTCAAATAAAACCTAACCTACCATCAAATATAATTAAACCTACCATAAACAATAACCAAACCTACCATGAAATATAACCAACCTACCAACAAATATAACCAACCTAACAACAAATATAACCAACCTACTATCAAATATAACCAACCTACCAACAAATATGATCAACCTACCATCAAATATACCCAACCTACCATCAAATATAACCAAACCTACCATCAAATATAACTAAAACTACCATCAAATATAACCAAACCTACCATCAAATATAACCAAACCTACCATCAAATAAAACCAAGCCTACCATCAAATATAACTAAACCTACTATCAAATATAACTAAACCTACCATCAAATTTAACTAAACCTACCCTAAACAATAACCAAACCTACCATCAAATATAACCAACCTACCATCAAATATAACCAACCTACCATCAAATATAACCAAAACTACCATCAAATATAACTAAACCTGCTATCAAATATAACTAAACCTACCATCAAATATAACTAAACCTACCATAAACAATAACCAAACCTACCATCAAATATAACCAACCTACCATCAAATATAATCAAACCTACCATCAAATATAACTAAAACTACCATCAAATATAACCACACCTACCATCAAATATAACCAACTTACCATCAAATATAACCAACCTACCATCAAATATAACTAAACCTACCATCAAATATAACCAAACCTACCATCAACTTTAACCAACTTACCATCAAATATAACCAACCTACCATCAAATATAACTAAACCTACCATAAACAATAACCAAACCTACTATCAAATATAACCAACCTACTATCAAATTTAACCAACCTACTATCAAATATAACCAACCTACCATCAAATATAACCAATCCTACCATCAAATATAACTAAACCTACCATCAAATATAACCAAACCTACCATCAAATATAACCAACCTACCATCAAATATATCTAAACCTACCATCAAATATAACTATACCTACCCTAAAAAAACCAAACCTACCATCAAATATAACTAAACCTACCATCAAATAAAACCACACCTACCATCAAATATAACTAAACCTACCATCAAATATAACCAACCTACCATAAAATATAACTAAACCTACCATCAAATATAACCAACCTACCATCAAATATAACTAAACCTACCATCAAATATAACCAACCTACCATCAAATATAACCAACCTACCATCAAATATAACCAACCTACCATCAAATATAACGAACCTCCCCTGATCACACCACAAGCTGGGGACGGTGAAGGCCTCAATGACGAGGGCCGAGTTGAGATCTATGGCGCCTGTGTTGTCTATAGCCTCGATCCTCCAGATACACCTGTACGTGAGAGCAACACATTAAACACCTGTACGTGAGAGCAACACATTAAACACATGTATGTTACAGAAACACATTAAACACCTGCACATTACAGAAACAAATTAAACACCTGTACATTACAGAAACAAATTAAACACCTGTACATTACAGAAACACATCTAACACCTGTACATTACAGAAACACATTAAACAACTGTATTTTACGGCAACACATTAAACACTTGTAAATTTGGGCAACACATTAAACACCTGTACATTAGGGTAACACATTAAACACCTGTACATTAGGGTATCACATTAAACACCTGTACACAGCAGGACCTAGTCTTAATATAGCCCTAAATTAGACATATACTCAGTGGCGTAGCGAGGTCGGGTGTCACCCGGTGCGGCACTTAATGGTGTCACCCCCCAGAGGCGTAGCGACCCTTGCCGGGGACAAACTTTCAAATTTTTTTATTTGCACCCCCCCCCCCCTCAAGTTTTTGATTTGCACCCCCCTCAAGTTTTCGATTTGCACCCCCCTCAAGTTTTCGATTTGCACCCCCCCCCCCTCCTCAAACTTTTGATTTGCACCCCCCCCCCCCAAGTTTTTCTCTATATATTCTGCTATTTTTTGCCTTGGTGTCACCCCCCTAAATGGTGTCACCCGGTGCGGTGCGCACCCCCCGCCCCCCCCCCCCCTCGCTACGCCCCTGCATATACTAGAGGCATAATACTATCAACTCATATAAAGTAGGCATATATAATTTCAAACATTCGTACTCGTATTTTTTAAAATTGAAAATTGGTCTTTGTTTTTAATTTTACTTGCAACAAAAAAAAATTGTAGATCTACCTTCTTTCCGAATTTTTCACCGTGAATTCTTCATAGAGGGGCGCTTTGCCTGCGTAGATGGGAATAACATTCCCAGGCTGGCATTCTGCTGTAGCTGCAAGGGATTGTTCTCTCATTAGCTTACATTGTTCTCTCATTAGCTTACATTGTTCTCTCATTAGCTTACATTGTTCTCTCATTAGCTTACATTGTACTCTCATTAGCTTACATTGTTCTCTCATTAGCTTACATTGTTATCTCATTAGCTTACATTCTTCTCTCATTAGCTTACATTGTACTCTTATTGGCTTACATTGTACTCTCATTAGCTTACATTGTTCTCACATTAGCTTACATTGTACTCTCATTAGCTTACATTGTTCTCACATTAGCTTACATTGTACTCTCCTTAGCTTACATTGTTCTCTCATTAGTTTACCTTAAATGAAGTGTATCGTAATAGCCTTATAAGGTCAAGAGCCGTGTTTTTAGACATCGTAACCAAAGAATCGTTTTCAACATATTTTTAACATTGTAACTTTGTTATTTTGTTGATGTTAAAAACTCACGTGAACCTGTGATTCAGCTACTTACCATATTTAACCAAAGCAAACTCCAGCACAAAGCCTTGACCAGTGTATTGCTCGTTGGATGCAAATCTAAAATTAGAAGTTGAAAACGTGATGAACGTGTACATCCCTAGCGGTCACGTGACACTCACTTGGTGGTCACGTGACACTCACCAGATGATCACGTGACTCATCTGGATGTCACGTGATACTTATATAATGTTCATGTGACACTCACTTGGTGGTCACGTGACACTCACCAGATGATCACGCGACTCACTTGGTGGTCACGTGACACTCACCAGATGATCACGTGACTCACCTGGATGTCACGTGATGCTTATATGATGTTCATGTGACACTCACTTGGTGGTCACGTGACACTCACCAGATGATCACGTGACTCACCTGGATGTCACGTGATGCTTATATGATGGTCATGTGACACTCACTTGGTGGTCACGTGACACTCACCAGATGATCACGTGACTCACCTGGATGTCACGTGATGCTTATATGATGGTCATGTGACACTCACTTGGTGGTCACATGACACTCATCTGGTTGTATGTTGTCACTCACCTTATAGTCATGTACATGTTGTTTGTTTTGATGACTTTTTGACCATCGCACCATCTGGCCAGACTGTCACCAAGGTTACCTGGACTCCCTGGGGGAAACATTCAAGTCACAAAACGATAAAACATAATCAAGTCACCAAACTTATTCTAAAGTTGAGTCTTTAGATAAAATATAATCAAGCCACAAAACGTATTCTAAAGTTGAGTCTTTAGATGAATTGACACAGATATTTACATGAATTTGCATTAGTACAGTAAAATGTCCCCGCCAACCCTTACCTTAATGGTCCCCGCTAATATTTACCTCAGAGATCCCCGCCAACACTTACCTTCAAACGCCTCCAAGTTATCGCTGCAGTCTGAGTTGGTTTCGAACACAGGATCGAGAGCAATTTGCAGGGTCGCTAGCTGGATGACAAAGCCGGAGCTTCTGTCTATGGGTGCCCTGAGCACCCAGTAGCACGTCATGTTGCTGTATGGACGTGATCCAGTTCATTATTTAGTAAGGACAAGACAAAATTTAAACCATTAAGTCGTACAATAGCAGTACAAAACTTAGTGTACGTCTCCAGTGGGTCAATAGCAACAACAGAGTGGACTAGCAAAACAAATTCTAGTAATAATAAGAAAAATGAACGACAGAATTCGTCACAATAAGAAATTGAAGCCTGACTTACGTGACGCTAAGAACATCAATGACTGACTCACGTCTAACAATAAGAAATTGACACCTGACTTACTTGTTATAATTGTGGGGGTAACCAGGTGAGAAAAGTTTCTGAGGTGTGTAGTCAACACTCAGCTCTATGGGTGGTCCATCGCAGCCTGCAACTGGTGGTGGAAACATTGGGTGAGTTGATTTAATGTGGTGTGTAAGTTCTATATGTTATGTAAGTTATGTATGTTGTGTATGTTGTGTGTGTTGTGTAAGTTCTGTATGTTGTGTAAGTTCTGTATGTTGTGTAAGTTTTGTATGTTGTGTAAGTTTTGTATGTTGTGTGTGTTGAGTAAGTTCTGTGTGTTGTGTAAGTTCTATGTGTTGTGTAGGTTCTGTGTGTTGTGTAGGTTCTGTGTTAAAAACCTGTTTGTCGTTTACCAATTAGCAGCGATACGTTTTTTAATGTGATTATTTTAGTACTTTGTTCCACACACTGTCATGTGTATGTATGTGTATGTATGTCTGGGTTCTATTTGCTGAGCTAAGTGTAAATGTTAGTGTAAAAACTGTATTCAAGTTAGGTAAGTCATGTACCCAATAAAGTTTCACTGCTGCATTTAGGTAAACATACGCAGTGGGGTAGGCATATTTCGTTACGACTAAATGCGCAATTGTCTGTGCGTGTGTGGGGGGGGGGGGGGAGCGGCAAAGTTAAAAAATGGCTATCAAACGTTTATAACGTGTTTTTTTGTTTCATACGACTTTTCAGTAATTCGACAGTGTTTGATATCTATATTTTGGTAACAGTATTTTGTATAAAGGTGTTGTGGTCGTGTGATTTGCTCTAAATATTTAAAATCACAGCTGAACTCATATTGAAATATCTTAGAGCCAAGTGAACCGATGACTTGCGAACTGCAACTGGTGATAATCCCATGTTTCTTACAGAGTGAGGTCCCCTGTACATTCTATCGGGCAACTATGACTCAATGTGTATAGTGTGTGAGTGTAGTTGTACGAGTATATATGAGTGCTTTTATATGAGTGTATGATAAAGCGTACACGGCTCAACGTTAACAATGACAAACTTTCACACATACATACACACATACATAGAGTTTATTTGAACTTGGGTGACTATGTTCAATAAACGAAGCGTACGTAACTTAGCAATGCGCACATTACAAACCAAAGGTCGGGGAGTGACGAAACATTCCTGTTACAAATGTAAACATCAAAAGACAGAATTGGAATCAGACGTTGGACATGGGGAGCTAACAAAAGACGACATCAAATGTTCCTGGATCTGCCGTGCCGTCATCTGGTCTGCGGTACTCCACTTCCGGTGCTAACACGGAGCACACGTCGTGCGGGGGTATTTCTAGCATGGGGTGTAGGGTAGAAACAATAGGTAGCCTCTAGCTCAATAGGTAGCCTCTAGCCAAATAGGTAGCCTCTAGCTCAATAGGTAGCCTCTAGCTCAATAGGAAGCCTCTAGCTCAATATGTAGCCTCTAGTGCGGGGTATTTCTAGCATGGCCCATGGGGTGTAGGGTAGAAAACAATAGGTAGCCTCTAGCCAAATAGGTAGCCTCTAGCCAAATAGGTAGCCTCTAGCCAAATAGGAAGCCTCTAGCACAATAGGTAGCCTCTAGCTCAATAGGAAGCCTCTAGCACAATAGGTAGCCTCTAGCTCAATAGGAAGCCTCTAGTGCGGAGTATTTCTAGCATGGGGTGTAGGGTAGAAAACTATAGGTAGCCTCTAGCTCAATAGGTAGCCTCTAGCTCAATAGGTAGCCTCTAGCCAAATAGGTAGCCTCTAGCCAAATAGGTAGCCTCTAGCCAAATAGGTAGCCTCTAGCTCAATTGGTAGCCTCTAGCCAAATAGGTAGCCTCTAGCCAAATAGGTAGCCTCTAGCCAAATAGGTAGCCTCTAGCCAAATAGGTAGCCTCTAGCTCAATAGGTAGCCTCTAGCCAAATAGGTAGCCTCTAGCCAAATAGGTAGCCTCTAGCCAAATAGGTAGCCTCTAGCTCAATAGGTAGCCTCTAGCCAAATAGGTAGCCTCTAGCCAAATAGGTAGCCTCTAGCCAAATAGGTAGCCTCTAGCCAAATAGGTAGCCTCTAGCCAAATAGGTAGCCTCTAGCCAAATAGGTAGCCTCTAGCCAAATAGGTAGCCTCTAATGCTGGGTAATCCTAGCATGGGGTGTAAAGTAGAAACAATAGGTAGCCTCTAGCCAAATAGGTAGCCTCTAGCTCAATAGGTAGCCTCTAGCTCAATATGTAGCCTCTAGCTCAATAGGTAGCCTCTAGCTCAATATGTAGCCTCTAGCTCAATAGGTAGCGTATAACCTAGGAACTACATGAGAGTTTTTACAAACGAAGTATGTTGTAAACCAAGTTCGAGTTTTAGTCCGGGGTTCAACATTGCCTCGCTTCTCCGCTAAGATTTTAAACTGCTGAGTTTTGTTAGCGTGAGATCGACG